AAAATCACCTAGAAGTAAACAGGTGGTGTTTCATATCAACAATCTTGAACGTGACCCAGGGTTACGTATGCCAATAACAAATTATCCCGTTGATAAAATTGATGAAGTTCGACGAGCTTATATTAGCTACGGCCTTTATCAATACAAAGGAGAATATCCTTCGAGCGGGTCTAGGAAGTATTCCCGTCGTTTTCAGGCGTCGTGGTTCAAGATATTTCCTTCTTGGTTAGAATACTCCCCTACAAGTGACGCTGCATTTTGTTTACCTTGCTATTCTAAAGATACAACTTTGTCTTTTTAATGAAGTATGTCATTATTGAAAATTATTTCGTCCCCCCCAAATAAATTTTCTAGATCCGCCCCTGGCTTGGATCATTAAATAATGAAGCCGATAAACTACCTAACTTATCAACATTAACGAACCTTCTGAGCCATAACAAGCCGCTTTAAGGTAACAAGTTAGTAATTATGTAAGAACCTCTATTACATGACCCTAGTGAACCTTAATGAGCCGAGTTTAGCTTATTAACTAAACGAGCTTGACCCGACTTACATATGAAGTGAATTGAGCTAAATTTGTGTCTTACTAAGCACAATAGAGCCATGCTCACGAACAACTGGATTCGAAGTCTGATAGTTTAAAACGACTTCAACCCGGTCCAACATCTTTTGATTTGTCCTTACGTTCGGTGAAATGACCTGCAAAACAGCGTCGGGGATTGTCCTACCGCAGAAACTCCAACACTCAAGTCAGTAAAAAGGATGAAGTGAACTGTATGTATGATTTTCGATTACTCAGAGCGAGTTGAAAGATGATAATCATACATCACCCTTATATATAGAGGTATTACCTAGTTGCCAAAGATCTGACCGGCCTTGGTGCCTGAGTGCTTGAACTACTCGACTATACTAGCTGAGTGTCTGTACTACCCTATTTTGTTACACATGTGTCCTACTTATCTCAATTATATCCGTACTTATCCATTATCTGGTGTGTTCACATTAGCTTACTTAATTAAGTTGTTGTTTTAAGTATTAATTGCCCTATCAAATTCATTCCCCATGAATAGGGTCGTTCTACTCTTCATTGCATAAGTTCATTTTTCAGGTCCTACGTCGACTTCTTCACTTCCAAGTTGAGTTTCCATCTGGCTAACCGAAATACCTAACTCGATCTGCTGCTGAACTTCTCTACCTCGGAGGTCATCAACGACCTGGTACACTAGTGACCTCAAGTCTTCTCGTTGTCGGACCTCTGGTCAACCTACCGGTCTACTTGATCTGCTCAGGTTGTTGTTAAGTCATTCACGACCCTTGGTCAGGCATTGTATCCCATATCATCTTGTCCCCCCCCACACACACACACACCTCCTTCAATGGTTGAGTAAAAATAACTCGAGCTAAGAGTAGAACCAGGTAACTTAAACTTCATTCACTTAATCGTGAACTTCTCTTTCTATCGAGGTGCTTTTCCTTTCCCTCTGGTTAAGAAAACCAACTCGACCTAAGGAGAAGATCCTGATTTCAAAATTCAAATTCAAACTTCAAACGACTTTTCAAATCAATTGACATCCTTTCAAATCACCTAGCACCCTTTTAAATCGACGTAACCGTCACGATTATTGTCTCACTCTCAAATAGCACGCTCATGAATGCTGCATCAATCAAATCCATCCAATTTTAGTTTTATCGAAAAGTCCTAATCTGTTAGAGTAGAATACCCGGCGTTCCAATCTGATTGGATCTATTTCTACTTTTAAAGATAATTTATCGGAAATTATATTATTTTGAGGCATAGCTTTATCTTATGTATTTGCATTTATCCTATATTTTCACATATGATAAAGTCCTTAGATCATTATTAGCTATGAGGCATGGTTGCGCATATGACGGCAATCATGGAACATGTCTTTAAAGTTGTGATCTAAAATAAGTTTCAAGTCGATGGGTATTTCGAGACAGGACATCAAATAACCCGATAAGACTTGTGCATATGATGTATGCACATCAGATGAGAATGTTGCATTCCATCAACATTAGCGTGTGGACGCGAATGCATATATGCGGGTGCTTGTTGGAGAACAAGTTCACTGAACATGACCCGATGAAAATTCTTCACTGGAAGTTTTAACTGTCGAATAAGAATTTTCATGTTGCAATAGTACATGACTAATCCCATGACATAAGGCACGATAGTAATCTTGTGCATGTTGTGCTTTACTTTGATTTATCCTTTAATTACTGGACAATCATAAAAGGGATATTTTGGGTACTATATTAATATGTATGGAGGTTTATCTGTGGCCAACAAAGAATTCGACACTTATGTGGATAAGTAAATTTCCTATGTTTCATAGTTTGTTATTCAAAGACCTTGGCCAAGGCAGGATGAATATGGATTCATAAAGTAATCAATAAACTTGAAATAAAATCATAGTTATTAAATCAATTGGGTTTCGACTTATAAATCCATGCCCAAGATTTAATCGGGAAATTAGTTGTCGAAAGGATTTTACATGTATGCACTTGCAATTTAAAATGTTTACTCTCTATTTCACTTATCACTAGATGATCATGCTACTTGCTAGGTGTTACCATGATTTGTGGGTTCTTGAAATTAAGGAGTTAATTTCAACAATATAAATTAATTAGATTAATTTAAATTACAAACGAATTGTAAACCCACTACTAGTGTTAATTGTGAACCTAAAAGGGTCACACTAAATTTTGGATGATAACTATTTTGAAATTGGTATTTCCAATAGTTGGATTAATTGACAAAATTTAATTAAATCTAATTTTAATTAGATGTCAATTAAAGGAATAAAATAAATTAATCAATTGAATAGATTAATTAGGCTTTGGATATTAATTAAGTAATTATTGGAATTACTAAATTAATAGTTGGATTTAGAATTGGAATTTAAAATTCAAATCCAAATAATAATATGATTATAAAAAGAGGAGATTTTGTCGGTTCTCCGGGGGAGGGTCGTTTAGTCGTTTAGTCGTTGTTGTTTTAGTTTGTTTTGTTGTTAGTCCTTTTGGTCTTCTTTGTGTGTTTGTTGTTTTGTTTCGGAGATGTCGACAGGTTAGGCATTGTGCAGTGACTCTGTTGTTCATTTTCCTTTATTTTCGATTTTGGAGTTATCTAGGCCGCCTTGTGCGTGTCCTCTCAGTTTGTCGTTCTTGTTTGTTGTTTTAGGTGTGTTTTTGGTTTGGGCCGTTGGCCTCTGTCCCATTACCCTGTTGGGGCCGTAGATTACCCCGTTGGGGCCTTGTAATTTGTTCTCTTCGTGATATAATATCTCTATCGTTCCGGAAAAAAAAAAACAAATAATATTGAAAATGTTTCATAAATTATTTGTTATTATTAATCTTTAATTTATATTAAAGATTAGATATTAATAAAAATAAAATAATTATGGTAGATGGGAGTTGTTACCCACTCTACATATTTATTTTTATTTTTATGATTAATAAATTTGGGTAAGAATAGTCTTGCCAGGACTTTATTTTTATATGAAAATGGTTGTACCTAACATTACATTTTTTAAACATAAACTTTTAGTATAAATACATACATATGTGATGTATGAATGTAATGAATTGAAGTCTTGCACTTTGAGAAAGTGAAGATAAGAAAAATTATCTCTCACATTCAAGAATTGTTCTTGAAGAAAATAAATAAAAATATCCTCTTTTAAATTTCAATTCCAAATACCAATTGAATACCGGAAAATTTCTACTAGCGAAGAAATTGTTCTCGGAGTCGGAATCCAAATGGGTGGACTTGATTAGAGGGGAGACACTTGGATCCCTTAAGGAGTAAGAAGACTGTAGTAGCCACATAACCGGGAATTGATTTCCTCTTCATTGTATCTATTTGGAGAAAATTAAAGGTAATTTTCGAAATTCTCTACAAATCAAAATTCGTATTTTTACGTGATTTTAAAAGATGCTGATCATTTTATTCGCTATATGTACTTACAGATTAAGTATTTATTTGATAAATGATAATTATATTGTATAATTTCCACTGCGATTTTAATCCGTACAGTATAGCGAACCCAACATAATCGACATGACAGTTTAACTTTCTTTTTTAATCTCGTTCGCCCACTTCGTCTCACAATTGATAGTTCTGCTCGACCCAACTCCTTGTTATACTTTGAAAGATACTGATTTTTCAGAGTTAATTTCGAACTTTTTCAAAAATAATTTATTTTTTTTTTTAAAAGAACTTCTCTAGGGTACTTACTTAAAACTTTTTCTTCATTTTACTGAAACTACTTTTCTTCTTTAAAACATGGTAAGACGCTAACTTAAGTTATTATGGGAATGTTGATCCCATCTACTGTCTTAACTACTTAGCTAACTTTTTTGTGGATTAACATAATCATTCATGCATAATTTAAATGTTTCGAAAACAACTGAAAGGGGTCTCAAACTGAGTTTCAAAACAAGTTCTCATAGACAACAAAAAAGCATGAATTGTAAAGGTTCTAGTAGAAGCATAAATAACATCATGACCACCCTCGACCAAACGGGTTGGGCTAATGGACCCCTCGGCGGGATTTACGGGAAAAACTGCCTAACCACAACCGAGTCTATCTCGTGTGTACACAGCTACTGTACCCAGTGCCCACCTCCAGGAAAAATACTCATAAACATATCTTTACCATAATACTTTGTGATTATAAAGAATTAACGCAAAGCATGAAACCCCACCTTATGTTGATGATGATGAATGAATGCCCGTGAACTTCGTGAGGGCTCGACTCCTCTTAATCTACAAATTAGTATAATATTTTACTTATAAAAATTATTGAAGTTATAGTTATGATTTAACTTATTAATTAAACCACTTAATTAAAAATTTTAATTAACTCTTCTACTAACTCCTCTTAACTCTTCTAGGCTGGTCTAGAGTTCTCGGCTAATATAACTTTAGCTTTGAAAAAAAATTTCTGAACTGGACTGTACCGGCTGACTTGCACACGGTCAGACTCGGTTTGCCTTGCTAAACCGTACGAGTCGATCTGGTGCTGTGGCTGCCCAGCACGGTATTGGCCGGTTGAGGACGTCTATAGCGACTTTCGCCGATAACAGTTAAAACTTTTTCTGGCAAACCTTAGGCTCATAAATAGTTTACAAAAATATAGGTTCTAATGAAGCCAGCATGCTCGGGAACTTAAGCAACCTCAGCCTAGTTCTAGGGTTCTCTTTTTCTTTCTTTTTCTTAATTCAGATTGAATTCTTTAAGGCCATAAAACTGACATTAACACGGCTCACCAACTAAACATTGACATTAACACGGCTCAGAAGAACTCCTCAATTCAAGGCCAAACTCAAGTCTTACTTATCTTTCTTCTTAACCTTTAATAAATCACAAACAAGCAATTTAAACTCTTAGCTGCTGAAACATTAATCTCACTAAACTAGTAATCTCAACATGAAATTTTCATTTAAAACTGAGGCTCAGAACTCATTAATCAGAGCTACAGCATGCTAAATTCCTCCTCAAAACTTAAGCTTTTAATAAATGATTTAGCAAGCTAAATTTCTTCTTTCTTTAAGCTTCAATATCTCGGCCAAAACAAGAGGAATTCGGGGCTCCGACTGATTACCTCTTGCCGAAAAGAGGAAGAGGTAAAAAGGATCGGTTTTGGAAAAATGGCTCGGTTAGGCGTCGCTGCCCGCGGCTGCTGCAAGTTCGGTCTACTCTCTCGACTGCTCCTCTGTCCGGTGGTGGATTGTTCTGCTCAATACTCGCCGGAAGCTCGGTGGCGCTCGGCTCTTGGAATTTGCTGGGCAATTTCAGGAAATTTTTGCACGTGAGTTTTTGTGAAATGTTGAGGGGATATCAGATTGGCTGCTGAGGGCTTTGTGGTGCTTAAGTAGGTGGACGTTACGGTTGGGTGGTTGTTGAATTTTGTGGGGATGAAGGAGCCGAGAATGGGGGAAAGATGGTTGGCAAGGGCTACTTTTGGCGGCTGGTTTTTGAGGAGGATAGTGCCTGGAATTTTGATTGGGCTAGTAGTTGCTAGAGGATGCTTGGGCCGAAAAGGGGCTGTTAGGGGCTGACTTGGGCCGAGATATGGGGTTTTTTGGACTGAATTTTAGGCTGAACAATGGTGGCTGCTTGGAGTGGGTTTTGCTTGGTGCAATTTGGCCGAGAGATTATTACTTGTTACTAGTGTATATCCCGTACGATGCACGGAAGAGTTCATATTTTAAACATTTTTTAAGACTTTATTTTAAATATAATTATTTATATTTTTCACATCTCGTCTATTATGAAAATAAAATAAATACAATCAATGAAAAATATATATTATTAAATACTTCTCTTTATATAATATTTTTTATTTAAGAAATATTATTAAACCTTACGGTTTTATTTTTTTTTTTAAATCAATAATCCAAAATATATGATTGTTAACGTACAAAAAATAATAGAAATAATCCAGACTTTAAAGTAAAGCTATTTTTTATTATTTTACAAATAAAAATCTTTCAATTTTTTGTAATTTCAAAAAAAAATTTGGCAAATTTGTTAGTGAGTTAAATCAAGTTATACAAATAATTAAATAGTTAAAATATATATTAATTATATTTTAAGAAATCCGATTATATAAAAATGGGTAAAAAAATATTATACTAATTAATTTGTTAGGATTGTGATTATATGGAAGTTAAGATAAAATGAAATGTAACAAAAAAATTTGTTCGTGGTCTTTTTCTTTAAATGTTTGAATTTAAAAATCTAATAATCAAATTTACATTATATCACGTAAGGAAAAAAAATAAATAATAAACATTTATTAAAGAGATAAATCAATAATATTTATCACTTAGATAATAAATAATAAATATTTACTTGTAAAAAAATAAATAATAATATATTCAAAAATATAAGTCAGAATTTCAAATAAAGTAAAAGGAGGGATAACTCATTTTTTAAAAAAAGTTTCTAAATGTTTAATATATTGATAAGTATCTCCATAAGAATAATCATACCATTTTAATTTTAAAAAATTTGGCAAGTTTGTTAGAGAGATAAATCCGGTTAGACAAATGATTAATTTGTTAAGATATTATATTAATTGTATCATAAAAAATCGGTTAGATAATGTAGATAAAAAAAATATAATACTAATTAGTTTGTTAGAAATGTGATTATGAAAACCAAGATAAAATGAAATTTACCCAAGAAAAAAATTGTTTGGAATCTTTTTCTTTAAATGTTTGAATTTACAAATTTAATACCGAAATTCTATTATATCACATAAGGAAAAAATAAATAATAAACGTTTATTAATATATTAAAATATGTAATTTTGAATTTCATATAAAGTAAAAGGTTTGATAATTCAAAAATATAAATCTAAACAAATTTTGAAACAACCAAAAAATCGGATTGATTGGAAAAAAAAGGAAGTGAAATCGGATTTGATTGGTTAACAATATTTGCACTAATTTTGGTTGGAAAAGGAATTAAATTGGAGTTGATTGGTCATTGCCTATTTGGTTAGATTTGAAGTAATTTTGGTTAACAAAAAAAAAAGAACTAAAATCGGATTGCATTCACATCCAAATTCAAAAGATCAGAAAAAGTTGATCCGCACAATATAATTGGCATAGGCGATAATTCAAAAAAATTTACCAGAAATGGAAAATAAAATAAAATAACATCACATGTTCTAGATCTCTTAAGCTACCATGCTTAGTTATCCCCAAAATAACAGTCGAAGCAAAATGTTTCTTATGCTACCATGCTTAGTTATCCCCAAAATAACTTTTTTCTGATCGAATTTTCTTTCAATACTGGAACACTAAGAGCAACCTGAACATAGCTCAATCCCCAAACCAAAAGAGAAACATAAAAATTAAATTAAAAAAAAAAGAGAACAAAATACTGATATTAATACTAATGATAAAACAAATGAAATAATAACATGTTTTTCGCTGCATAAACCTTCATAGTCTTTCAAGTAACCATCCAACATTATTTTCTCATTTGAAACAGAATCTGCAACCGAACACTTACCTCAAAAACACGAAAGTAAAGCAAAACACACACACACGCACACAAGTCACCTTCGAGCTAAAACATGAAGGGTTCAGAAAAGCAAAGGAAAACGGATTACCCGAATTTCGACAAACATGAATAGCCACAACACTATCTCCAGAATCAGCAACCTTGACAAGCTCCCAATCAAGCAACTCTTTAGCATGATCGTCTAATCTTATTCCCGTAATCACTTCCTTCATTCCGAAGCTAAACCTCTCGACCGTCAATGTTACCCGCCAAGATTTTACACTAAAGATTAGACCTGTTCATGTTACTTATGTTTAAAACGTTAAATGCCCAAAAACACTGAATATTTATGTTCCCCTTTGCACACAACAAACTCCAAGCCCTCGGCACAAAACAGGAGAAAAGGGGTTTCGAATTTACAAACTGAAGCCCGTCATAGAATTTTAAATTAATCCAATTTTAGAGTAACCCAAACAAAAAATCCAACCCACCATCTAAAAAGCATCTCCCATCAAAAAATCCAGCTCGATAAAACAAATTTATGCGTAATAAAAGAACCATCATCAAGAAAACCAAAATCGCTTCAAGATTAAAACACGAGAATTTTGTGAAAAAAAAAAAAGTGAGAAGGTCCCGACAACAGATGTACCAAATTAAGGGATTTTACCGCAAATATTCCAGTCACAATTCAAACTCCAACAATAGCTGCATACGAACGATTAAGGAAGATCCAATCAAACAAAATTAAAAAGACACTTCATAAGCTGATGAAATGCAATATACTGCAATACAAACATAATACAAGTTCGAATCCAACACCCTAAAATAATAATAATAATAAAAATCTGCTCCTTCCGGATGATCTTGCCGTCGCCGTTGAGCATGGAGAAGACCGAGCGAGCTTGTGCTTGCCCATTTCCTGATGTGGAGCCCTAATTAGCCGAGAGAATTGGTTTGGGTTTTGATCGGTACATTCAAAATTATTAAGAGAGATTTGATTAATAGTTAGCCGAGAGAATTTGTTTGGATTGTGATCCGATCACCCAATAATTACGGTAAAGATTCAATTAATAGATAATTCAGATATACCAAAAAAATCTTTCCGAAGAGATTATCAAATTTACCAAAAAAAAGGCTTAATAATCGGAACACCTTACCAAATTGAATGCTAAAAGATTCGATTTGATTGGTTACCTAATTGCATGGGCTGAAAAAATTCAAAAAAAAAAAAATTACGAATTGAAGAAGCGGGAAAAACACTATATTGAAGCGGGAAAACGAAATGATTTTTTTCAGATTGTTCAAATAATTTTTCTTCTCTGTATTATATAGTAATAGATACTAGGAAAATTTTGGGTACTTATCCTAACATTTTACTTAGAAAAATTAATAGGTTAATAAAATTAGAAAAATTAAATAGACGAGGACATCTACTTATTTTTTTTTTATTAAAAGAATTTTAGAACTAAGACCAAGATTAAGCACAATAGTTGAGCTATAAATAAATGCAAAAACGTGCTATGCTAGAACTCTTTTCAAATTCAGCCTGGAACAATAAAAATATGGTTTTTTGTGTAGATTTCGGTCATTTGCTTTTCAATTGCAAACGTAGTGTTGATCCTTGGTTTCTCATGAAAATCGACGTGACCAGCCATCAACTCTTCATGTCGTTGGTGTGCAATAGCCCTATTAAAACGTGTGAAAAAGTCATTCAATGAGCATTTCTTGTCGAGGTACCTTTGAAGGATGCATGGTTACTCTCAATACGCTGACTATTTGACATATCGGCAGAGAAGACATGTTTTATGTAGGCCGGAACCCAATGATGTCAGATTTCATACATTTTGGATAACCAATCATTAGCACTCCATTGAGAATCATTCATCAATGAATTCCACCTACACTCAAACTCGATCGGACTCTCCGAATCATTAATGATTGATGATAAACTATGGTGATGAAGCTTATGAAAAATGAGACCGAGTTTTTCCAAGAACTTGTTTAGTATATGCCAAATACAATATCTATGAATAGTATTTGGAAATACCTCACTCGTAGCAATAGATATAGCGACATCTTGATCAGTTATAATGATATTTAGATGAGGCTGGTTTGGTATTGCTTCTAAAAAATTAGTGAATAACCACACAAAAGACTCGTTTTTCTCATCGCTAAGCAACCCGATCCCAAATATCGTCATCGGCCTATGATGATTCACACCAACAAAGGGCGCGAACACCATTCCATACTTGTTTGTGTTATATGTAGTGTCAAAGACAACTGTATCACCAAACAATGCATACGAATTTCTTAAGTCGCTATCGGCTCAGAAGCACCTCATGAAAATTTCCTCACCATCTGTCTCATACACATAGAAAAAATTCTCATTCCTTTCCTTTTCCATTTTAAATTGCTGAATCATTGTGTGCGCATCATGTTCATTCAATTCAGCCCTATGCGCAGCTTCCTCATTCCTGATATCCTTCTCCAAACGTTCCATCATGGACGGACCCCCAGCATCAATCCCAAACAACCTAACTTGTTGGCAGGTTGGAATGTTTGTCTCTCTATACTCTTGCATTAGTGCTCTTTTCGTAGCCGATGTACCACGATGGGATCTAAGTAAATGAACCTTAACCAATGGATGATTATGTTGTTCTATAAAGTACTTCACAATCCAAACTTATTTGATTTTGCAAACACTCATTCGAGTTGGACAACCACATCTCGTCTCTCCCCTTTTCCTTTCCCATGTTCGAACCACAACATTTTTGCGTTTATTTCTGTAGAGCTCATTTGTTTTCCCTTCCTTTGAGCAAGTGAACATCTACCACACAAACATATTGGTTTGTTTATTTATTTTTTATTTTTTATTTTTTTTTTTTTGCAATTTTGAGTACGAGTGCTAAAGCCACNTATTCATTCATGTGATAGTTTCCAATTCATTCATATAGCATATATATTTTTTTTTTAATTAAACTCATTATTTCTAAGGTCTTGCAGTAGCATTCTGAAATGAATTGAACAAGAAGAAACCATCGCGAGTCGAATTTTCTCTACTGGCCTATGTTTACTCTGTTGTGATTGATTGAGAAAAAATTTCTTGAAAGAGAAGTGATTAATCGAGAAAAGAGTTCTCGAAGGATAAGACATAAGGAGAGAAAAGAACGGAAGATGAAAACTATGAGTCGAAAAAGAAGGGAGAAAAAATAATTCTCTTTAAATTATAATTAATTAAAGATTAACATTAATAATTACTAGACCAATATAAAATCCATTTAGGATGACATGGATGCATCTGGTTTCTAAATAGAAACCAGTGTATGGTTTTATAGAAAAACTGATAGTATAGATTTATACTTTATTTTAGTAGTAGGAAGTTAAGTGAAAAAATCATTGTTCTGAAAATTGGACCGGACCGGCCGGTTCAACCGGTTGGACCTGGAACTGGCCTTCGTTCCGGTCCGGTTTGAGCCTTCAAACCGCCATGCAGGAGAACCGGTCAAGAACCGTTCGAACCGGTCCGAAACAAATTGAACTGGTGAACTAGGACCGGTTCGAATGGTTCACCGGTTCAAGCTTATGAATTTGAACTTGGTAGATTGTGAAGTGGTTTAAATAACACACCTTTTTTACTTGTATTTCATATGTGGGATATGTTTCATTGCTGAAATTATTGGGCCTAACAAGCGAAATTGTACTCATTAAAAAAATGTATTGTTATTTGAAGTGGATTATCTATTGGGCTATATCTATTCCAAATTTTTTTTTTTTAAAAAAAGAAGTAATTTATTTCATTGTTGTTTGTTATGTATATTATTTTTATTTTTATTTTTTAATCAATAATAAAAAATTAAAATGTGATTAAAATGAAAACTAAGTTGTTTCTATTCTCTCTATTTTGTAACTTAAATATAGATTAAAATTTTAAATATAAGACCATCTCCAACCGAAAAACTCATTCTCAAACTCATTTTGCAGTATCTGTCACATCAAACAGTAATTCTTCTCCAACCGATTAACTCATTCTCAAACCCAAAAGAATATTCTCGAAATATTCTCTAACATCAACTTTTACACATTTTCAATACCACCCACATATTTAATAAATTTACATATTAGACTTTATATCAATTTAAAAAAAAATAATAATAATAATCTATTATAGATTGACAATTTGTACACCTACAAAATATTGAAATACATATTTAAAATTAATATTTGTTATTTAACTTCAAAAAATATTTTATAAGGTTCATGTGAAATTATTTTCAATTTTTTTATTATTAAGTTGATAATTAAATTGGGTTCCAAAACAATATTCATTTATTACATTTCATATAAATAAAACAAAATATATAGAAGTTCATCTATAACTATGAAGCAGAAATCACCTAGATGCAAATTAATAAGCCAATAAAGTTTCAAACCCAAAATGAAATAAAAATTAATTACTGATGGATTTTTACAACAAAACAAAGGGAAATGCCATTGGTAATATGGGTCATATTGCAATTTTGCAAAGAAATGCGTTGGTGAACAGGAAAAACGCATATATGCGTTTGTGGAGACAAAATTTTTGTAAAAACTCATTTTGAGTTTGGGTTTGAGTCTCGGTTGGAGCAAATTTACTGCAAAATTTGGGTTTTGAGTATCGGTTGGAGATGCTCTAAAACTAAAAAAAAAAGGTAACAACATTATTTAACATTATCGGTTGTATATATTATTGAACTCTTATTTAGAGAAATGTCATGCACTATAAAATTAATAATAAAAATATATATAATTATATATTATACATATAAAATAAATAAAAAATTATTTATTAATTAAAAGGGTTAGACCGGTTCGATCAATGAACCACTGAACCATTAGCTTTACTCATTCGATGACCGGTTTGGTGATTAGGTACTATATTAAAAAAAAAAGAAAATAGAGACTGAAAAAAAAATAAAAAAAAAGGGTATTACACTGACATTGCTGCTGCAGCAGGCTGACCCACTCACGTGGCCTCTTACAACCCCATTTAATGATAAAATTCAGGTAAGAAAACCTACCCCTTTGTCTAACGTCTAACCCTGCAAAATCATGTTCTTCTAGCGCGCAATTGAATCATTTTTTATCGGGGCATTTTTGTCCCACAAAACTTATATAACGTTACTCCCCAACTCTCTCATTTATATACACAACTCTACGCGACTACGCACATAATCGCTAATATCGAGACACAATAAATGGGTCTGTACCGAAGTTTGTCGGTCACCACTCTGGCACTGCTTCTGGCCCTTGCCCTGGCTGCAAACGCTTGCCCGCCGAGCGATCGGTCAGCTCTTCTGGCCTTCCGGGCAGCCCTGACCGAGCCTTACCTCGGCATTTTCAGCTCGTGGTCGTCTGGCTCCGACTGCTGCACCGCCTGGCACGGCGTCAGCTGTGACCCGGAAACCAACCGGGTCACCGACGTCACCCTCCGGGGCGAGTCCGAGGACCCGATTTTCGAGAAAGCCGGCCGGTCCGGGTACATGACCGGCTCCATCTCCCCCTCCCTCTGCCAGCTCGACCGCCTCACCACCCTAGTCCTCGCCGACTGGAAGGACATCTCCGGCGAGATCCCTCCCTGCCTCGCCGCCCTCCCCCACCTCAGAATCCTCGACCTCGTCGGAAACAAGATCTCCGGCCAAATCCCGGCCGACATTGGGAAGCTCAGCCGGCTCACCGTCTTGAACCTGGCCGACAATCAGATCTCCGGCTCGATACCGCCCTCCATTGTCAACCTCAACAGCCTGATGCATTTAGATCTCAGCGGGAACAAAATCTCCGGCGAGATCCCGCCGGAAATCGGGAAACTGTCAATGATGAGCCGGGCTTTGCTGGGCCGGAACCGGCTGACCGGCCCCATCCCGAGTTCGTTGGCCAAAATCGACCGCCTGGCAGATTTGGATTTGTCCATGAACCAAATATCCGGTTCGATCCCGGCTCAGCTGGGCTCAATGCCGGTTCTTTCAACCCTCAACTTGGACAACAACCAGTTATCGGGCGGGGTGCCCACTGCTTTGCTCTCTAACACGGGATTAAACATCTTGAATTTGAGCCGTAACTCGTTGGAGGGAAATCTGCCTGACGTTTTTGGCCCCAAAACTTATTTTACGGCCATTGACTTATCCTACAATCAGTTGAGGGGTTCGATTCCAAAGTCATTGTCGTTGGCTAAGTATATCGGGCATTTGGATTTGAGCCACAACCATCTTTGTGGGCCCATCCCAAACGGGTCACCGTTTGATCATCTTGAGGCCGCCTCGTTCGCCAACAACGATTGTTTGTGTGGGATGCCGTTGCAAACATGTTAACTAAGACATCTTCTTTTTCAAGAAACTATAATTGTGTTGCATGTAAGTTATTTTAATATAAATATATTGTTGGTTCTTGTGTGTTAATTAATTGTTGTTGTAATTGTGGTTGCAATCTTTGTTTGGGATGGTGGTATTTTTTTTAATGTTGTCCTTAATCAAGCAAAGGCATATGCGTGCACGTGAAAATATGTGAGGCAGCTTTTTTCTTTTTTCTTTGTTTTTGGGGAGAGAATATGCATTATAAAAGCGAGAGCAAGGATTTGATGCTCTATTATTTTGCAATGGATTGGTGTTTGTATTACTAGCCATTTTGTTGTAGTTTGTCTATTATTAAACTTTGAAATGTTTTTTTATTTTTTTAATTTTTTTAACATGGTCTACGATCACATTGGAGCTGTGAGCTGAATTGCTAAATACCGCGCCCATTTTACTAATACCGCACTCTAAAATGACAGTTTTGTCCTTTATTCTTATTTTTTAAAAAAATATAATGTCCCACCTTCTAACCTATTTATCGGCCGAACCGAGCACCGAAAAATTCCGAAAACACCTCAAAATAATTCCGGCAAAAAAATGCTATCCAATAAGACCGGTCATGCGGCGGTCGGCCGGTCAAACCGGCCCTAAACCGGTCAAACCGGCCGCACTAGAACCAAAAATTTAATTTTTATTTATTTTTTTTTTTCGGAAACGGCCGAAGGCTGATTGCGGCCGCCCCTCGGCCCGCCGCACGCGGCCGGTTTTATAAATTACATATTTAAAAAATATATAATTTTTTTACTACTATTAATTATTGGAGAAACCGATTAATAGTTATTAAGGCAAGTAGCTACAACATATATAGCTATTCATTGCCTTACATTGAACTTTCTCATTCAATGTGGGATAATTGCAAATCAAAATTTTCACTCTCCCAACCTTTTATAGCCACTATTGACCTTTATTATTGTGTTTGTAATCGATGTGGGATTGTCTCAAACCTTTATAACTACTTTTTGCATTCTTTTTTGCTTTCAAAATCAATGTGGGACTAAATGATCCATGCTTTAACACACTTTCACTATGTATGTCAAGATGAATATCACATTATCATTAATTAAACTTATTATTATCTTAAACTGATAAATGATTAAATTTAACTAAATGAACATGAAAATTATAATATATTTTAATATATACCATAATAATTTCTAACTTCTAACATAATAGTAATAAATTCTAATTTATAACATAATCAATTCTAATCTATAATACAATAATTTCTAACCTCTAACAAAATAATAATAAATTCTATTTGCATTTCAAACAATTTGTACATATAAATTAATTTGTATTTTTTTTAAATTTTCGTGGTTTTTAATTTTTTTAATTAAAAAATGTTGAAATATAAAAAATATATTTAAATAATTTCATATATATTATTATATATTTTATAATAAATGAAAAAAATTAATAATTAAGTTTGATTAATAATTAAAATATATTAATAATTTAAATTAATATATATTAAATTATATATATTAATATTTTCATATATATTATTATACATTCATATATATGAATATGTATAATTTAATAATATTAATATATATTTTATATAAATATATATTAATAGAATTAATATATTATATAATATATATTATATTAATATAGTTATTATAAATTATGATAGTATAAAATATAATTAATTATAATGAAAAAAGTATATTAATATGATATGGGATATTATATAGCTGAGGAATAGACCGGTTTGCATCATCGGTCGAGCAACCTCGAAGTGGAGAAAACCGGATTGGGAGAAAGATGATCGACCAAAAAGGAGGAGATCGAGCAGAATAGCAGAGCTGGTCGAGGATCGACCAAAAGGGAGGAGATCGAGCACTCAACAGGTGAAGAGCAGTCTAGGGCGTGGCTTGAACGCGAGAAGGCGCGTGGATGACGTTAGAAGATCTCAACGGCCTGCGCAGAATAATAATCTCCCTCAGCTCAGAGGGACACGTGGCGAGAATATATTGGTGCAGAGTGATAGTGGCGAAAACTACCCCTGACATCTCTGACACACGTACACTATGTGTGTACGGACGGGCAGTACGGGCAGGACAGCTCACCAAAAGCAGGGCAGTTTTTAGGGCAGGTATCTCACTCCTATATATATGGGAGTGGGTCTTTTCTTGTAGCCTACGATTTATCCATTCTTTACTTTGGAAAATTGAACAAACACATACTGACTTAAGCATCGGAGGCTCTTCACCGGAAAACCCCTCCGGTGTGAGA